GATTGAGCTCTGTGTTTTCTGTGTTTCTAGCGTGAAACATCTGTATTTTATCTCATGTACCAGATGATGAAATGACTTTGGAAGCCAGGAGACACACTAGTGTAAGCTTGATTCACCAAGTGAATACACACACCCTTTCAACTGGATTAGATGTTTTGCAAGTTATGGTCAGGTCTTCATTTTGCCTATTGTTCACTGTAAATACCGCACCCTAAAATCTCATTCGTTCCTCGGTTACACGGTTTAGTCTACTGCATTCTTCTGAAAAGTTCAAAAGGAAAGCAATGGGTATGGAATGAGGTCTGTTTCTGATGCAAACTCAAAATGGAATATGTGCTTCTTTACATGCAGATAATATACACTGTAGTAAATTACACAGTTAATAGCAGCTGGTTCTGTTTCCTATTACATACCACCCCAAAAAATAAAAGCAACCTCCCACAAGCAGCCATTGACCAACTGCATCCATCTTGAATATTTTACTTTTCCTAAACATAGAGTAAAACAAAACCAGTAAAAAAGTACTGAGAGAAAACTCAGAAAACTTTTCAGAGAGAAAACAATAATTCAGGATTTAAAAAGATTATTTAAAAGGACCTTAATACAGCTATGTATATGTACACATAAAGGTGTCAGAATACTTGGAAAAAAAAAAAAGGAACCGGGTGTGCAGAAGACAGTAGAGAAATCAGCATGAGGAGAGAATGGGTCATAGTCTTCCAAATGTGAAAATGTTATGAAATTTTGAGAGCAGAATTAGAACATGACGGGAACAGTTAGGAGACTTTCTTAAGGTCCTTTTATCCATATGTGAAATTTCAGGTTGCTACAGGCAAGCAAAAATGATTAATTATCCCATATGTTCTTAGGCATGCCAATTTCATATTCTAGCTATTTGTTTGTAAAGTAATACTATGGTTGTTCAAGATAACTAGATTGGGAATTAATGGTTATAGAGGATTGTGATTTACTTCTCAGTACTCCTATAGTTTCCTTAAATTTACAGTTCACATAAGTCTTCAAAATGGGATAGGTCTAGTATTTTATTACATGTGTATATTGTTTTCATTATGTTTTACCATGTCTATGTAATTGTAATTACCTCATGGAGATACGTAATCTGGATTTGTGTTTTTATTCATGACTGTATCAGTTTTGCAAGGCCAGTGCCACGTGCAGAATAAAATCTAAAAAAACCAAGTAACATCTCAACTGGATCACATTCAAATCACATCTCACTATACAGTGTAAAAGCTAGATAGGTCACCTTCTAAAAGGAATGTGTTTACAGTTACAAACAGCCATGGCACTTAATTTCCTTCTGCATTCCTCACTCAGCAATTGTGCCACGGTCTGACAATAAAATATACTGTAAAAGTACTCTCCTTTTAGAAGTCAACATCTAGAAGCTAAGGGTGTTAGCAAATGTACACAGGGACCTACTTTGATAGCATCTTAAAAATACAAGTTTTTAAGCCCCCCTTTTACTCATAGAAAAGCATGAATAAATAACATGATTTAAAATGAAGAAAACAAACCATCTTTTTTCAGTCTGAACACTTATTGTTTGCGCTACCTGGCATAAAGATCCATTGTGCATAAGGAGCAGGTAAAGAGAGCAAGAAAGACAGCACAAAGTATAGTATAGTATATAGTAGTAGTATACTAGTAAGAACTCTTATAATGCAGTTGTGCGTTTAAATTAGATTGAGGAGGTAGGATAAGGTACGTGAAATGCTACTGCATTTAAAGGTGTGCCTCTTTAGATATGGCTGTATCTCTGCTCATATGTCCTCAGGTTTGTGGAGGCTTTTGTGTTGGGTTTCTTTAAAAATTAATATTTTCCAGACCAGTGTTGAGCATGTAAAGAAGACCACACTTCTTTCCACATGGACTTACATTTTTTACCCTGAATATTTTTGAGGACTCATTTAGTCTTTCTCTAAAATCAGATTGAAAAAAATCTGGGAGTTCAAAGTAAGATCACTTAACCAACCAGAAAGGAAGTATGGGGACTCCGGGCTTGAAAGGAGCTAAAATTTCACTAATTTTCTCCTCAATTAAGTCTGGTGTCACAGTTAAAGTCTTGCAGTATTAGGTTTCAAGAAACTCTGTCATTGTCTCATTCATGTTGCATAGGCCCAAGAGAGAAAAAATAAAAAAAATATGTATTTTTTCAGTATTTCCCTTCCTTCCCAGTTTGATAATCCCTTCAAAAGACTGAATGGGCAAGAGCACTTGGTAGCTTCAGAGCTTCAGTAAACCTTAGCTCAAGAAATGGCACTGTGTGATGCAGCTTCTCAGTTTCTAGAAAGAAATAGGAGAAACATAGCTGGGTGTATGTCAAAGTTGTTAGTCATTCTGACAAAAACACAAGAATCAATGTGACATTGAGTCAGATTTTGGCCTGAATAGAGTTTAAATAGAAGGCATTTTTCTTTGGGGAAAAAACATACAATAAATAATAATTAAAAAAAAAAAATCACCAAAAAAAGAACACAAAAAAAACGCCAAGAAGGGATACATGCTTAAGCACAAAACCAGCTCAGTAGGTCTGAGTAGGTCATATGTTTTGGCCTTTAAAAAAACAAAAGCAGAACAGTATGATAATAGAATACAGTATATTTTCAAGTCAATGTCCCACTTCTAGAATATGGGCCGTTTACAACTCTACATATTAGACTTCTGGCTTCTACATATACAAGTTTCACTCACAATCATAGGAGTTACAAAATGAAATTTTAAAGGAAAGCTGGATACTCAAGTACACAAAAAAAACGCCAAGAAGGGATACATGCTTAAGCACAAAACCAGCTCAGTAGGTCTGAGTAGGTCATATGTTTTGGCCTTTAAAAAAACAAAAGCAGAACAGTATGATAATAGAATACAGTATATTTTCAAGTCAATGTCCCACTTCTAGAATATGGGCCGTTTACAACTCTACATATTAGACTTCTGGCTTCTACATATACAAGTTTCACTCACAATCATAGGAGTTACAAAATGAAATTTTAAAGGAAAGCTGGATACTCAAGTACAGAATGGCATCCTTTAGGGGAAAGCAAAATATAACCCAACAGCTAAAAACAGTCATTTCCAAGCTTTCCATTTATCATCTGTGCAAAAAACAAGGAAATACATTTTCATGACCATTTTTCAGCTTTGTAAGGCTATTCTTTGAAAAGCTCTCGTTATATTATTGCAGGTACTTTGCACAGGTTTTTGTAAACACATCTCTTGCACATTTGTCCCATTTGGGGAACCTTTTGCTATTTAAGAAAATGACATTTAAAAGTTTCACATTATTCTAAATGTGTTGGGTTGGTGTTTTTTTACTAAACGAAAGTCTATTTCCAGTCAGTAAGAGCTCTATCAAAGGAAAAACTCGCTTTAACTGCCAAAAATTAAAAAAATATATAAAAATTGTACGATTTCTTCTGTCAATACTAAAGTTGGGGCATTTAAGTGTTATTTTTGACTGGAAAGTTAGAGGTTGCCTCCAGTGCCAACTATTAGAAGCCCAATTGCTTGTGTACATTCCCCTCTGGTGGCAACTAGCAAATATTGCAGAAAACAACAAATGCTGCCAAAGTGGCAAGGATTTTATGGAAATAAAAAGTAGTTCACTGAAAAAGATCTGCATTTGTAATAGTATGGCTTGAATTGTTTTAGAAACAATGAGCATGTTTGACATTCTTCAGCAGTAGTTAGCAGCTTCTCTGCTTAACCTTACCTCCCTGCTATTTACTTTTTATATTACATTAACTCTCTTGCCAGGATCAAGGTCCTTTTTCCCTGGCAACATATACTTGCCAGGGAAGTATATACTTCAGTAATATTTCTGGCTTGCTTCTTCATACGCATAACTGATATTAAATTACAGCACTTAAAACTACCCAGTAGGGATTTTAAAAAAATAAAACATAAGCCAGGATAAGGTAGCTGGTTGCAAAGCTGCTGAAAAGGGAAATGAAAATTCATATTATTTACTGCTTATTTAGAAAAAGGCCAATGAAATTTCCAGTGCAAAAATCAGAACTCTGCCTTGACAAATTCTGAAGGTTTATCAAAGCAACTGCTGGAGGATCGGAGAATGTCCAACTGCAGGCAGGCATCAGGAACAGATGTTCTTTTTTTTTCAGCCAAGGTTCTAGAAGTAAAGTGAAGTGAAAAACATTAATTAAAAACTACATGGCTGTGCAATATATCATCAATTATTCAATATTCTTTTTCGGAGAGTGACAAATGACTAGTCTATAAAAGGGAAAAATCTTAGGATTTGCAGGCCAGTGGGGATCTCAAGAGCAGAGAAAGAGAGAAGGCCTGCATATTTAAGAATAGGAGAACAGAAAATATATTACCACTAAACATCCAACTTTTCTGGAATATTCCTTATATCCTTACAGATTATATAAGGAAGGATACTCTTTAAGAATTTGTTCAATGATGAAAAGTCAGGAAAATACAGGAGTGGTCTCTCCAAAAAAATCTTGACGTTGAATTTCTGCATTAGACAAGAGTAAGGAATGGTCACCAGCAAGTTACTTTGAGGGTTATTTGGATTATCAAACTCAAAATGCTTCTGTGCTGTATGGTCTAGAGGCTTGAGAGAGGCCCCTACACTCAGGGTCACTTAAACGGACTAGAATCCGGTTGGAACAGCAAGTTGTAACCTGAAATATAGAAAATAGGTCTTCAGCAAGGAAAAAAAAGCCATATAAAATAATCAGAAAAAGACAGAAACTATCTAAACTCACAGGACCAGCTATCGCAGAAAGCCTTACAAGATATCCACATCTACACACTTAAAAGGGCAAAAAAAGCAGAACAAAATGTTTGTTCTCTTCAAGAAGGACGAAATGTATCGACAAGCAAAACCAGAATTTTTAAAGTTTGTAACTCTAGCTCTTCACTCCCTATACCACACAACTGTTAATCTATAATTTATACATTCACCGTGCAAAGTACAGAGCCTAACCAGGATTTTTCAAGAAGTCTCCTTTCACCCTAAATGTTCAATGAACCTGACAACTGCCTCCCCAGCAGCAGGAACGTCATCACAAAGAGTCCCAGCACAGACGTCTCAGTTATTCTGTTGATGCCAGAAGATGGCGAATTTTGTTGTTGCTTTAGGTAGCACTGCTTCACACACTGACATCTCCTTGTGTCTCTCCTACTCTGTGACTACCTCTGTGTAAATCCCTCCCCTTCCACCCAATGCTTATATATCACCTCCACTTTTTCTTCTTCCACAAGCCAGAGAATCTGTACCTTCGTCACTTGTTCTTGTCTTTCCAAAGACAAGGTTTTCATTTTTACACACTGATAATTACCTGATACTATACCCCCCAGGTTCCAGCTATGGTCAATATGAAGTCACACAGGTGACACAGCCTTTCTGTGTGGTCATACCCAGGGGTTTTTTGTCAGCTGTTTAGAAGTACTTGGGGCTGCACGTGTAAAAATTCAGTTTCAGGCATTTTCTATCTCCAGAAGGCCTCTGTATCTTCGGAGCAGAAAAGGGTCTTCCAGTGGCACTTAATGAAATACTACCCTAGTTCCCCCTGGTTTGGTCCTTGATAGGTCTCTGACTCACCATGGCCACCAACACTCCTGGCTACTAAAGCCAAGACTAAAGTTATTTGCTGTCTTGTGAGGTATACACAAGGGTCTAGCATTTCGTCTGTCAGCCTCAGACTGGGCAAGCCCAGTCTCCAGTCTGTACCATCACAACCCACATTCACCCTGATGGTGTGCAGCTTTCTTCTGTTACATACATTACCTTGCAGATCCTATGGCCTAAGCCTGGACCCGGCAAACACTCTCAGGCCCTTGTTCAGGGAGGGCAGAGATGCTGTAGCCAGAAGGGTCATGGCAAGGAAAACTCTCCTAATCTCCTGCTATGTCTGGAGCTGCTTTAAATTATGCTGGTTACCAACAAAAGTTGCAACACTACAGGTTTTCACTACCACGTGCAACCGGTAGTCACAAGTAGTCCTGGTAAAGAATGACTAACCATGTCTTTGCTGAGTGCCCTACTGTGTGAGCAGCCAGATTTTGACCTGCCGTGCTGTCTCTGGACCCTCCTGAGTTTTTCTTGTTCTGGCCAGGGACATCATATTGAGAGATTTTTTAGCAGAGAGTTTTTAAGATGTTCTGAGCTGCTGGTAGAGTCAGACATGGATGTGCTGAATTGGACCATCTCCTAGCCACATTGAATGTGGACCTAACTTCTTTCACTGAGATAGCTATGGCCCAGCTCATTTACTAGTACGCTTATAAATAATAATATTTATTAATATTTTTATTATTATCACTCCTTCTTCTGCCCCTGTGCCACGTTATGCACATACGCATTTAATTGGAAAGATGAGCTCAATCTGCAACCAACTTTTGATTTATTCTTTACTTTTTATTTTCAGCAAAATCAAAAGACTACTGCCTTCTGTCCACTGGCCCACAATTACTTTTTCATCAAACACCCACTTACCCATTGTTACAATTGCTTGAATCAAAATACAGAGCTGCGTGCTGTGTGACCTATCATGTCGCACTGCAGACTTTCTCTCTATTAAGTATGATCCTCCAATCTCCCTCTCATTTTGGAGTTGAGTAACACATTGAGTAAAGTCTATGCAAACCATAACCAAAGTCTTAGTTTTCCAAAGGCATAAAAAAATCATGTGAAACACTTTGGGAGGGAAATAGCAGGCAATAGATCTGGGGAGAACTATTTAACAGATTTTTCTTTCCAAAGACTCATTTCTCTCTCCTTCCTCTTCAGAGTTTTCTCCCCCTTAATTACAGCACAATGGTGTTCTGCAACCAGCCAGTATAAAATCTTCACGAAAATACCTCACTACACCAAGTTCTCCAAATGTACATACTTTCTAGCTCTTTCTGTTTGCAATCTATTATGATCATAGATCTGGATTTGGTTTTGAAGCACTACATTGAAACTAATATTTTTAAGCTAGGCTATTGTTCATATTTGTTGTGAGCTGTCCAGAACATTGCATTAGTCGATCTCAGCATGTTTATATTTTCATTTATAGCAACTCTTAACTTACCATTTAAGAGAGTAGAGTTGACCACAATCATCAAGTTCTTCAACTCTGTGAATTCCAAAAATTCACAGAGGTACATTTTTAAAACAGCTTAGAAAAAGCCATAGGAAACAGTCCTCTTAAAGGGATGAGAAATAAACAAAACCAGCCTGTAAGACAGTAGAAAATAGAATTTTTTTTTCCTTTCACCCCAGATGAATTAAAAACGTTGCAGTCCTGTGATCCTTCATGTAGGACCTGTGAGAAATCTGCTGGCATATGTACTTCATGTCCAGAAGGTAAGACATTTCAGCTTCTCTGGGTAAGTTTTGCAAGAGGTTTAATGTTCTGTATCCTACACACTTTCAGGGAATATTTTCATCAATGGTCACTAGAAAGTTCTTTGACAGCTTAAAGCATAGGCAGGTAATCAGATAATCCCCAGATGAAGTCAGGTATCAGATAGTAATGAAGCATATGTCCTTGGCAATACGAGTAAAAAAAATTGTTAGGTGAATGTTGTTCCTTTTCTTTCTTTGCAATCAAAATTTTTAGACATGATGCAGGATTTACTGAATATAGATTTATGAGGAAGACATACTAGATAATCCTGGTGATTCCTTCTAACTTAAATTTCAGTGAAGGCTGAGCAAACTACTTTGGGAAATGGATTAAAGAATGTTTTATTCATGTTTTTAAGCATCACAAAGTTAGATTTCAAGAAAGAACAGAAAGGACATGGACCTGTTGGAATGAGTCCAGCAGAGGGCCACGAAATGATCAGGGAGCTGGAGCAGTTCTCGTATGAGAAGACAGGCTGAGAGAGTTGGGGTTGTTCAGCCTGAAGAAGAGAAGGCTCCAGGGAGACCTTATAGCAGCCTTCCAGTACCTGAAGGAGGCCTACAGGAGAGATGGGGAGGAACTCTTTATCAGGGAGGAAAGCGATAGGATGAGGGGTAATTGTTGTAAACCAAAAGACGGGAGATTAAGATTAGATATTAGAAAGAAATTCTTTACGGTGAGGGTGGTGAAACACTGGAACAGGTTGCTCAGAGAAGTTGTAGATGGCCCTTCCCTGGAAGTGTTCAAGACCAGGCTGGATGGGGCTTTGAGCAACCTGGTTTGGTGAGAGGTGTCCCTGCCCATGGCAGGGGGACTGGAACTCCATGATCTTTAAGGTCCCTTCCAACCCAAACCATTCTGTGATTCTATGTTTCTAAATTAGAATCTTTTTTTATAGTCATCCAAGGCAGGAATCCTTAAATATATTCCTAATTGGTGCCTTTCCCCACCTGGGTTGCCTTTTTGCCAGGAAAATTTCTTATCCATGATACCTGTGTTCCTCTGTGCCCTCAAAAAACTTTTGGCAACGTTGCAAATGGAAAATGCGAGATGTGCATGGACGGCTGTGAGGTGTGCTCCAACCACTGGCACTGTCAGAAGTGTCAGGCTGAACAGGACCCTCCGCTCTTCCTCCACAAAGGCAGATGTTTCCAGGAATGCCCTGAGTAAGTATCTCCCGCTGATTGACTGCTTCTTGTTTTCTCACTGTGCTTCATCTCCTTAAAGTTCAGATCCATTATAAACCTTTCAAGGGGTCCCTTAATGTAACCTAGACCACCAGAAATTACCACAAGATTAAAGTCATTTTCAACTGGCCTGAAAAACAGCATTTTCTCTTGCTTAGAGAAAAAGTGCAAAATCAAAAGTGAAACTAGCCATTAAATCCTATGACAGAAGGTACAGATCCCATTGACTTCAATAGGACCATGGTATTTCAGGGTGGTTCTTTATGATGACTGAAAATAGGCCTCTAGTTATTCTCCTAACTTGTTCCTTCCTCAATGTAGTACGGAGCAGGATTGTGAACCCAGAAAGTGGCTAATCAGAGTTCTGTTATGGAAATACAGTGCTTAGTGATGTGTTTCTCTCTTTGGCTTATATTCTTTATTTTTTCCTGTAATAAACAAAATTCAAAGAGAAAGATGGATATCAGATCAGGCAACATGAGAAGATCAGGTTCTCCTGTTTCCATTCTTTTTCATCAGCGTCCATTGTACCTACATATACACATAAAATCTGTGCTATGCAATATGAATAACTT